ACTGATGGTAAGTAGAGCAAATTAATTTATGTTTGTTTAACCACGGCCTCCCGAGTAAAATGTGATAGCTCACGTCGACATCCAAGACATAAAATCTGGTTTGCGAGCATATGGGCTCGGCCTTGAGATCGAGTTGGATGTAGCCAATGGACATTTCGGTGGAATTCCTAAATCCCACGATTTGCCCCTCCACTTTCGTAATTCTCTTGCAAGGTATTCCTGCAGCCGTAAGGGTGGCCAGGGGAATAACATCCACGGAAGACCCTATATCTACCAGGACGCGACGGACGTGTACGTCGTTAATTTGGACTTCTAGGTACATCGGTCGCTTGTGGTCAGGATTGGCGACTTCCATGTCTTCGTCGGTAAAGGTCACTGAATTTGTGCTTTCTAAGAATGTGCGACTCGCCTGAGCCTTACTGGCGTAACACTAAGGTCCGTGATCTCCCTAGATCTTCATTAGAGCCTCTGTTGCTATTAAGCCGGCTTGAGGTCCGTATCCGAGCTGATTGAATATGGATTTGAATTTTGAGCTCCGATGGAGTGCCCGCGCGATCGTTGACCGCTGTGTATTCCCTTCATTGCTTCCGTTATCAGCTTCCCCAGGACATATTATTACTATGACAGTGTGTCGAGTCTTTGATGAACCCCCAGATGAGGAGATATCAGATGAGTCTTCTTCCATCAACCTGTTCACCTCAGAAGGGCTCATGAGTTCGTTCATGCTGTCCAAACTACTCTCAGAGTAATATAGTGATTTCTGAAATTGGGATGCTCCATCCGATGGATTATCACTCAGCCTCAGAAACATCCCAAAGTTAGTTTTGTGTTCGTCGAGGCTGAGGGTATCTGTGGGTTCTCTTTCCTCCTCAAACCTCTGAATGAGAGGCCCATGCCACACTCTTCTTGTGTTTATTCCACCCGCAGCTCTTTTAGAAGCCTTATGCGAGCTTTTCTCTTTCGGCACTTCCTCAGCCGGGCGCACATTCTTTAGCCCCCTGTTCCCTGTCGCATCTTCTTGCCATTGCATTAAGTGCGTAAGTCTTTCCGGTGTGCTCACCATTCTATGATGATTGACATCTCTTTGTTGCGTGTCCAGGGGTGTTTCTTCGAACTACCCTACTCGTGCGAAGATTATGGCTGGCTTTGGGGGCATGACATAGGAACGTCCCGTATCGGGCGTGGCCACTTCTGAACAGCTTGTATCTATACTGGAATGCTTTGTAATATTCTGATGGTTAGTATTAGTTGACCTTGTGTCAGATGAGTCTGCGTCCGGCGCTCTTGTGCTAGGGCCATGGCTTCCAGGGGTTGAATTGGAAGTTAGCACATTTGACCGTCCTTTGTTAGGGAAGCATATCACAGCTACCATCTCCCTCCCTGGTATTTTCTTCTTGCTCACTTGCCTTTCGTCGGCAGGCATATGTGAAGATACTTCAGATGAGTTGTTTGAATCACTATCTGTCATCAACGAGATGGCAAATTTTGTTGTTTCTGACTCCGTCAAATTCACGTAAGTCGCGTCTGGCTGCATCCCCCTTTTAACTAAGCGAAGTTCCCTTGTGAAAAGCTCGGTCCGTAGCTTCTTCACGGTGAGGCTACCAGGAGGCTCGAGTATGGTTCTTGTCAACCTATCGAATGCGCGTTCAAAGACTAACCTTTGCTCCTCTTATCTTGCAGGCATGTTCCCCTTGTCCTTCGTCTTCTCAGCCTCTCGGTAATGTCCCAGAAGCTCTTGCGTCCTTAGAATGTGCATACCACTATTGGACGGTGGGATTTTCGTGCCGAACATACTACCTTATTTTGGATTGAATTTTAGAGTTTCAGTCACCATTAAAACCTCTTTTCAATCCCCCCTCTTCTCGTTCAAAGTTGTCTCCCCAATCGCTTGATGCTGGGAGAGGTACGCCGTAATGCTCCGGCTGGCTGTAAGTGCACTAAAAGGCCTATTCATTACTCCTTGACATCTCCCATATCCTTTCAAGCGACTTCAGATCTGTCCGCCACACTCGTATTTCATCATTTGGATCCCTCATCCCTTCATTCTTTTTCAAGCAGAATACCATGGCGCTAGTTTCTTTGACTTGGTGGCAAGGTAGTGGGTCTAAGTCAATTGTCTGCTTCTTAGATGAAAGCTCAAGGGTGCCGTTATTGATTTTGACATGAAAAATCTTTCAAAGGATTTGACATTCCGTCGTGAGGTGATGGATGTATTGGTGAAGCCGGCAGTACCTCGGGTGTTTTTTATCGTCCATCGTTGGCTGCTTTCGCGGTGTAAAAAGGCAGACTACCCCATCTTGGATCCATTGGTCGAGGATAGCATGGAATTCTTCATCAGTGTAAGGAACGAGTGGTTGCTTCGATCTTTCTTTGTTTCTCTCTCTCCTCTATCGAGGATAATCCCGTGGTGGTCTATCCGATATGGCCAACGAGTGTTGTACTTTTCTTTTCTCTTTCAAGCTACGAGATCCCGACGTGATTTTTATTGACGAATAAGTTCTTCTGGCGGCTTCGAGCAGTTTAGAGAATTGCTTAATCCTGACATTTTCCAAATACATTCTATACTCTGGGATAATATTGTTGATACATATTTCAACCAAATCCTCTGCGCCATTGCCGTCGTAGCAATCCAATGCGAGGTCTCGGAAGCGACGGGCGTAGTCCACAAGGTGTTCCCCCTATTTGTGCCAAGTGTTACTCAGCGTGATGGTCGTGATCCTTTCTTCGTTCTGGAAATATTCTGACAGAACTAGCTCGCCATTTCTTCCCATGATCGAACAGACCCCGGAGCCAGGGTCGTGTACCAAGTATAGGCCCGATCAGTGAGCGATTTTAAAAACTCTCAGAGCCTCAAATCTTTATCACTTGAGTATTGTCCCAGCATGTCTAATAAGCAGCTGATATGTTCTTTGGGATTCCCTTTTCGACCGTTGAGAAGAGAGAAACTCAGAGTTTCATATCCCTTGGGATACGGCTTGCGACACACCTCGGGAGAATAAGGAGGTCTCGGAACGATATTCAAGTCTTCAGGATGGGTGTTGTAGAAGTGCTTCTCAAGAAGGGAGACCACATCTGTGTGAGTTAGAAGGTCTTCCTTTACTTCCGTTGGCGTTTGAATCCTTGGTTCCTCAAAAACCAAGGCTTCTTGCTGTGCAGCTTTGGCCGTTAGTGTGGGTGGAGCATTCTGTCGAGCAAGAGCATTCCTCAACTCAACCACTTCGTGCATAAGGGTATCTTGGGTTCGAGGCATCTCACGGATTATTTTCGTGAGGCCAGAGTCGAAGCTTCAGCTCCATCGGAGGCACCGACTTCGTGATTTGAGATAGACATCTCCGTCCCCTGTGAATCCCCATCAAGTGTAGTCTTCATCTTTTTACTTTTGGTGGGAGCCATTTGGGAACCCTAGTTTAGCTTCCCCAGTGAAGTCGCAAAATGTTGGGGCTCTTTTGGCGTAGGCCTGTCCACGTGGAAGGTAGAGGACTCATGGCCCCTTTTGGTTTGTGATGACTGTGCTCTTGCCAATCTGACGAGGTCGAAGAGCTACTAAGGGCGCTTCCTAGCGTCGATTGTGGCCGATAGGATGATGTTGGCCCCGGTTGAGTTAGGCTAAACCCGGATGACCCCGAGGACATCGGTATCTGAGGGCGACACCCGTTGCGGTTCCGGCTCTAAGACAACGAAGAATTTCTGATGGGGAGCTTCAAGTGAGCATATGGTGTGGAAGAGGAATGTGACCAGTTTATGGAGGAGGCTCCTAAGTGGGTAACGGAGTCATGTCTCTCCGTTTGTGAATACAATGGTTCCGACGGACGTGGCGTGTGGAAGGGAATGAAACTCAATCTTGGGGGGTGTTAGGCCGTGGTTAGGGGGTTTCGATGTTTTGGGAGTTTTGTCGCCACTTCCAATGGGGAGAACTTCTAGAAACTTATTCTAGAGGGACTCCGCCGGAAGTTATAGAGAATGAAATTCTCCGTCGGTCGCTCTGATAGAACCCAAAACTAGAGAAATCACCAGCCAAGAAGGGTGACTTTTGGTCTGCGTTTTTTCCTTTCCCCTGAGAGGCTTGAGTGTAAGTATTTATAGACAAGAAATGTGGTAAAGAGAAGGAGCTTTTCCTTCTAACGATTTTGAACTTTGGCTGAAATCCCTCCAAAAGCCTACGTCGGTAAGGCATTTCAAGTATGATTTAATGATAGCTTTCGTCGATGGCAGGGGAGGGCTTACCAAAGAGATGAATAAGTGGGTTATTGAGCAGCCAATGAGGTTATGTGGCCATTTTGGGTGAGGTCAGAAAAATGGCAGCCAAGTGGTCAAAGGTTTGCCTTCTCTTATTTGTGTTTATTTTGTCTTTTTATAGTTTTCGAGGAAGAGAGACTTTGTTGTCTTTTGAAGGGAGAGAGGGACGGGAAGAAAAAGAAAATGCTGGGATAAATGGCTATTTTGTTTTATCTTGTCTGATTTTCTCAATAACTCATGTTATCTTAATTCCTTCATAGATCCAAGACCGCCCCAAGTGGGCCAATGATCTAATTGGGCCAGATAAAATGAGCACGGTTACATTCTTTAGCATACCAAATCACAGCCCACGTAGAAGTTCCTAATGCGTGGCTTGGATCCACGTATCATACTTTAAATCGTGTTATAGGGCTTAGACCGAATCCATACCGTGTAATTTTTTAGACATCAACATTATTATTTACTTTAAATAATTTTAAAATTTATTAGTTACTGCCACACCTATCTGACCTCTTCCTGTCTTCATTAGTCCCTCATTCTCTCAACTAGGCAACCAGCGAATCCACATAATTTAATTTGCGGAATATTGGATTAAATTAAAGTCTAACGGATGCTATTTTTTCTAATACCCAATAACGAAATGAATTGCGGATCGACCCTAATCCGCATACTTCCATCGGATTGCGGATCGACCCTAATCCACATAATTCTATCCGCGAACACCCCAACAACGAAGCACCTTTTTTTTTTTTGGTTTTCCCAGAACGATACGAACGATCTCATCGTCCTCTCTCTCTCTCCCTCTCCCTCTCTCCTTTGTACAACTAGGGTTCCCATTACATCTACAGCAGCACAACCTAAAGCAAATCTTCTTCGATTTCGCTGCTCTCGTCTAAGAATTTAGTAAAGTTGTCGTCTTTAATCTCGGAATAATACTTTCCGTTCACGCCCTTGGCTGGCACAAATGAAATCGGAGGAACTGGGGGTAGAGATCTGCTGAATTGCAAAGCATCCCTCGAGGAAGTAACGCCACCTTCGATAGCTGTCATTCTGGTCCCTGCGTTCCTTGCCTCTGTTCCGAAAAGGTCTCTCTCTCTCTCTCTCCGTTTCTCTCTCTCCGTTTCTCTCTCTGTTTCTCTCTGTTTCTCTGATTTGATTGAAACTTTCGATATGTTTGTTTGGGATTGGGAAATCTAACAAATGTTTGGGATTGGGAAATCTAACAAATTCTGTGATGTAACCTTAATTGTATATATCGACAAGAATTATTCCATATTTGAATCCTTTGTAACCCTTTTCTTTCTTATAATCTTTGTGGTGGTTTATCTGTCGTCGAAATCGATTCAATTTTGGTTTCTCTTCTGCCTATGGAAAATATGCTACTTTACCTTTCAATCAACGAGTTCAACGAACCTCCCATCTTGAAAGTTGTGTTCAACTCTTTTTCGGTACTGAGTGATATCTCCGATCTCCCTTGATTGGAAGTGATTCTGTACGGTTCTAACGCAGCATTGCCTTTAATCACTAATTGGATCCTCTCGGTTTGAGTCTCATCTCATGGATTTACAAGTATTTTTTTTAATCGCTTGTTCATATTTTGCTTTATTTTAAGAATTTGTTTGACATTCAGAAGTTTATTTATGTAAATTTGTTTTTTTCTTTGGGCAATTCAATTAGATTATGGAACTGCTTTTTCATAATTTGATTATTGTTGTAGTACAATGTTTTAATTATCATCCCGTTACTTTATAAAGTAGTAAATTTCTACAATTTCTTTTATGTTGTCCTGACTAATTTATGTCTATACTATAGTAGTAGTATCGATACTTACCAAAATATATTATAGATTTAGTGTTTGGATTAAGCACTCTGTAAAAGTTTTTTTTAATGATTTGTATAGATTAGGATTGTTTTCCGCTTTCTTTGTTTGGTAACTAGATTGAGTTGGAGCTTCTTCTGTAATCCATATGTATTCCCACTATATGGCATTTTTTTTCCTGGAATATCATTGAGTTTATCCTTGTTCATTTTGAAACATTTTCAAAAATTTCCCCCTTATTAGGATAGCTACATTTCATCAGTTACTTTTATTTCAAAAGTCAATAACCACGCTTATTTCTTATTACAACTAGTCTTATTTTTATTACTAGTTTTTAGTGTTTTTGATTCCCTAAAAGTGTTTTACTTTGCTATGTATTAAAAAAAAGCTGGTAATGAGGCCTTCCTTCCTTACTCCCTCTTACTAAAATAAAAAATAAAATAAAATAAATCAACCTTGGTTGAATATTGCAATCCTTCAAATACATACACTGGAAATTTGACTCTGGTTTCAAGATAAGTATATTTTTCTATTTATTTTCCTTCGTCATGCCACTAATTTATTATTTATATCGTAATTATTTTTATTTTTATTTTTTATTTATTTTTCAGGTCTGTTTTGCTTTTGACTTTACATTCTCAGGTAATTGTCCTCATGTCTTATTTTTTCTTCTAGGCAGTTTGATAAATCTTTTATGTATTGTTTCTACGATACATGATTTATCCTTATTTGCTTTTTGGATAGAAAGAGACATTTTTATGGTTGGATATCTTTCACCATTGATTGTATCTATTGGTTAATAGATACTTTCTCCTACTCACAAAAAAAAAAAAAAAAAAAAAATTTCGTCGTTGGATTTTCTTACGTTGCTCGTAGTTTGCATTTTAATTCTGGGATTTTGTTTTCCACTTCTTTTTCACTAGCATATCTGTAAATCATTATAATCTATATGCCCAAGCAAACTGTAAATGCTGTTTATACAAAGACTTTGTTCATTTATTGGGTTCTTACATGCTAAATATTGCATTTAGTTTTATGAAAATGGCAGTTAAGCCGAGTTAATTGAAGAAATGGAGGTGCTAATAGGAGAAAGAAAAAAAAAAGGGTTATGAATTTGCCTAATCTAGACGAGTTTGAATTTCAACATATTTGGAATAGTCAATGATTTTATCTGTGGGTCTTGTGCCTTGTGTAATCTATAACTAATTTTGAGTGTCTATTCCTCAAATGCGTCTAAATTTCAGTTCCTTTTTTCTCCATTGCCTTTATTGAATCTTCACCGCGAATTTGGAAGATACAATGCATTACATTTGTGTTTGACATTTAGTATAGGTTCCATTTTATGCATGTCATTCTGAGCTTGATGTGTTGACACTGACCATTTATGAATCATTTGTGTAAAATATTACTTGTGGCAGGTGTAGGCCATACTAGTATTGACACTACTCAAATGGAATGTGATATTAACAGAAACAGTGGGTACTGAGGATATAGGCCACCCAAATCTTACTACAAGACCCCCAACACTGCACCTTTTGCTCTCAATTCTCATAATATGACGCCTTTTTCGTCATCTGGTCCTGTAGTTGGATCAGATACCCAGGGTATTAGACCTACCGCTCCATCAGCTCCGCAATCTATGACACTCTTTTCGGCATCTGGGCCTGTGGTTGGATCGGAAACTTCTGGATTTAGACCTGCTCCCCCGGTGGCCCCATCGACAAATATTCCAGAGGCTTCTAGTTTTAGACCTGCTCCACCAGCTAGGTTTAATGATCCATCTGTGCCTTCTCCACCAACATCGTATGTCCCACCAACTATTGGACCGTTCTCACGTTTCCCAACACCACAATTTCCCTCAACTCAGCCACCTCCACGGACTCCTCCTGCAGGCCAACCACCATTTCAACCCTTTGCTGGTCAAGTGCCACCTCCACTAGTTCCCCTTCGTCCGCAGCAGCAGAAACCTTCGGTGCCAATGGGACCTCCCCCTCAAAATGTTAATTATGCACCAAGTATGAATGTCCCTCAGCCTCCATCAGATTCATCCTTTTCAGCTCCTAGGTCTAATTTCCAGCCTTCATTTCCCGGTTATGTTCATCAGCAGCCTCTTGTAGACTCACAAGCTCCGCCTGTCCAATCTCCGTTTGTTGCTAAGCAGGGCCCAACACCCTTCCAAACTCCAGTATCATCCCCATTTGTCGCTCAGCCAGGCAGTTATGTTCCATCACAGCCTGTTGCAACTTCCTTGGGATTTCAGTCAAGAGACCATTTGCAGCATCCCGGCTCTGGACTTGGTGCTATCCAAGGTTTAGTAGAAGATTTCAACTCACTCTCCGTAGGATCAATTCCTGGATCAATTGAACCAGGAGTAGATCTTAAAGCTTTGCCAAGACCGTTGGATGGTGATGTGGAGCCAAAATTTCTTGCTGATATGTATCCAATGAATTGCAATCCAAGATTTTTGCGCCTTACAACTAGTGGAATACCAAGTTCTCAGTCCTTAGCTTCAAGGTGGCACTTGCCTCTTGGAGCAGTTGTTTGCCCGCTTGCAGAAGCACCAGATGGGGTGAGTTTTTCTATACTAAAGAATAACCAAAGCTGATTGATATTAATAAACCATGCAGACATTCATTGACTGCTATATTTTTCATCTAGGAGGAAGTGCCAGTAATTAATTTTGCTTCTACTGGCATTATTCGCTGTAGAAGATGTCGCACATATGTGAACCCTTACATTACATTTACAGATGCTGGAAGAAAGTGGAGATGTAACTTATGTGCTTTACTTAATGATGGTAAGTTTCTGCTAGATCATCCTATTTTCTTCCCCAGCAAATATGCTTTCCTGCTCTCAAAAGGGAAAAATGACATGTTTTTAACTGTTAGGTGCATAAAACTAATTATTTGCTGATTTTTGATTTTGTTCTCAGATGAACCAGATTTAGGTTATTTTGTTACCTTGGTAAAGGAGACTTCAGCTTGATCTCCCTACTAATATGCTTATTGTACTAATTTTCTCCAAGTAACCATGTTAGAAAAGTGTGCATAATGAATCTGATTTCTGAACTTTGACTTGTTATAAAATACGTAGTTTGAATTTGTTTTGCTTATAGTTAACAACTTAAAATAATTGAGAATTTTAAATTTGAAAAAAAGCTCCAAATTAATATTTGAACCTTGCAGGTCTAATTTGCTTTCATGGAAGGGTTTTCTAGCATAAAACTTGGTTTTTTAATTTTCAAGTACTTAGTTCGTGACTAGTTTATGTTATGCATCGTTGTTTATGGCGTGAACTGATTTTCATTCAATTTCATGCTTAGTTCCTGGTGAATATTTTGCCCATTTGGATGGCACTGGCAGAAGAATTGATTTGGACCAGCGCCCTGAGCTTACGCAGGGTAGTGTGGAATTTGTTGCTCCAACTGAATATATGGTGCGGCCTCCTATGCCGCCACTATATTTTTTCCTCATTGACGTTTCTACATCTGCAGTAAGAAGTGGTATGATTGAGGTAAGAACTTGCAATAATCTTTGCTTCCTTCTATGGAATATACTGCTTCTATTATAACATAGCTATGAAATAACAGAAAAGCTCAAGTGTCAGGCTTGCTCGATGGATGCATTACACATTTGTAAATAAGATAGACATGTTTGTGCATGAGCATATTATTGGTCACTAGTATTTAAAATTGCGCATCAGGAGGCGCGCTTCCATGAGGCGTTGAGAAAAAGCCTCGAGGCTTACACCTCAGAATGTTAAAAAGAGGCACGCATCTCTAATCTGAGGCGGCCTTGAGGCTAGCCTCAAGGCGTAGGTTTTGAGGTGGTGGCTTCACTTTTGTAACTTCCTTGTTTCTTTTTGGGCTGAAATTAATAAAAAGGATCAAGCCAAAAGTTATTATCTGCCCTAGAACAGCCCAATAAACCCTTATTCTATTAATAAAAGTCGATTAGGGAAGTATGAAGTTAGAGAACACGTTGCTCATGATCAAAGAGGGAGAGTGCAGACGAAACCCTAGGTTACTGAAAATAAGAGGGAAAACGATTAGGATAATTATTTTAGACTTGTTACTTTTTATTAAGTACTAATATGACTTTTTATGATGTTAAATTATGATTTATGACTTTTGTTTTTAAAAGTTGATTTTTCATATATATATATATATATTTATATATATTTATTTTGAGGCGTAACCTTGAGGCTTATGCCTTTGAGCCTTTCCTCACAAATGGAAAACGCCTCAATACCCGATCGTGCAACTTAAAACCTTGTTGGTCACGGATATATGCATAGCACTTTTTTTTTTTTTTTTTTTTTTTTTTTTTGAATAGGATAGCTATTTATGCACATGAGATGAGCTTATAATTGGTCATCTCATAGTGAATGAAGATGCGGATCATTTGATTTAAAATTATTAGTACACCGTGGTTTTTAGAAACAATTGTTGTGTAGTTTTACTTTTATATAGTATTCTATTCATTAAACGATTGGTTGGTCTTGCTTTGAGTATGATCTCTTACATGATAGCCGTAGAGCAGTGGTGTAGTTAGTCCATCGAAGCTGGAATTGGTTATTGTAAACTCTCTTTGTTAACACATCTGATTCCCCCAAAATTGTTCTCCTTGAGAAAACAGTAAATTCGTAGTTTTGTCTGTGGTCTTGTCTTAAAGTTGAATTTGCAATGACCTCTTTGCAGGTTGTGGCCAAAACCATTAGGTCATGTTTAGATAAGCTGCCTGGCTTCCCCAGAACCCAAATTGGGTTTGCGACTTTTGACAGCACGCTACATTTTTACAATTTGAAGGTGCACATATCTATTCTTCCTCACTGGTTACTCTTATTTTTTTGCTTTAGCCTATGTAACTGCTAAAATCATTAATCACGTGGGTTTCATCTGTGCAGTCATCTTTGAATCAGCCTCAAATGATGGTGGTCGCAGATCTGGATGACATATTTGTGCCATTGCCAGATGATCTGCTTGTCAACTTATCAGAATCAAGAAGTGTGGCGGAAACATTTCTTGATAACTTGCCATCTATGTTCCAGGACAATCTAAATGTTGAATCTGCTTTCGGTCCTGCTCTTAAGGCTTCACTCATGCTTATGGTATGTTAATCTCTTTTCCTATTCACTAGTTTAAACTATTGATTTGAAATTTTTTATTAGTAAATTACTGCGTGTGAGTGCTTCCCTTTTCAGTGTGGTACTTGTGCTTGTAGAGTTTGGTCATTCATTTATGATGCAATAATTTTAATCGCTCTGTGTGCTTGTTTTTGCAGAGCCAACTTGGGGGGAAATTGTTAATTTTCCAAAACACACTTCCCTCTCTCGGTGTTGGTCGCTTAAAGTTGCGTGGAGATGATCTACGTGTCTATGGTACAGATAAAGAACATGCACTAAGACTACCTGAAGATCCGTTCTACAAGCAGATGGCTGCAGAATTTACGAAGTTCCAGATAGGAGTGAATATTTATGCGTTTAGTGACAAGTATACTGATATAGCCTCGTTAGGTACATGTCTTGATCTTACCTTATCCGTATTTACTTACAGGAAAACTAATTGTAGTAGGAGTGAGAACTCTTTTTTCGCATATTATGTTTTTATAAGTCTCAGAACTTCTTTGTTTGTGAAGAAGGCATATAAAATATTCAAATTTGATCGTGATATGGATTTTTTTCCCTGTTAATCTTTGATGTGTGTGTGTATATATATATATATAGACACAACACAAAAGGCACACACATATAATGTATTCCTGTGTATTTTTGTTAAAGAATATCGAGATTGTTATCAGTAAGATTTTTTATATGCGTATTCTGCGTCTTACTGTTTGAGGCGTTGTTTGTATTGCAAGTATTACATCTGAGCTGATGTTTGGGCTGGATGGTTAATGGGTTTATGAACGCTCTGTTGTTTATTTCATTGACTGTGTCCGCACCTTGCTTCTTTTGGATAAAATGTTTATTATCTTTATCTTCCAACTTCCAATGTAGGTACTTTGGCAAAGTATACAGGAGGTCAAGTGTATTATTACCCAGGCTTCCAATCTGCCATTCATGGAGAGAAATTGAGACACGAGTTAGCCAGAGACCTAACCAGGGAAACTGCTTGGGAAGCTGTCATGCGTATACGATGTGGAAAAGGTTAGCCCATTTGTGATGCTCCATGGTCTTTCTTAGCTGTGATACAGATTTTTGTGTTTATGAAATCTGCTGATTTGTTTGTGTATTGTAATTATACATGTAGGAGTTCGCTTCACATCATACCACGGGAACTTTATGCTTAGATCTACCGATTTGTTAGCCCTTCCAGCTGTAGATTGTGATAAGGCATTTGCGATGCAGTTGTCTCTTGAAGAGGCTTTATTAACCACTCAGACAGTATATTTCCAAGTTGCCTTGCTGTATCCTTTCCGTTGGTTGTGTGATGTGTGTTATATAAACAAAAGCAATCGGATTTCACAACTTTTGGATCTGCTGGAGCAAAATATTAAATATTTGTTTTTTGCTAGAAAAACAAGACATTACTTGGTTATTATTTTGGCTGTTCTTACCAATCAATTTTTAAAGTCCCCCCCTCCATTCTTCTCTTTTTCCAATTATTATCATTGTTTTCTGTTTCTTAAGATCTCTGATGGGCCGTGATCCGTGCTATTTTTCCATTTTCTCCCATTCAACTGTCAGTTGCTTTACTGGTTGTTGTACTATACAATTTACTTGTCACTTGTCAGTTTGAAGTTGTTCCTTGGGATCTGGAGTGAATAAGGTCATGAGCTATCTATTCTTCCTTGACAATTTAAAGATACACGGCATCTTGTGGTGAGAGACGCATTAGAGTACACACTGCAGCAGCGCCAGTAGTTTCAGATCTAGGAGATATGTTTCGTCAGGCTGATACTGGTGCCATCGTCACCTTGCTTTCTAGGCTAGGTATGCCTGTCTATGCTAGTAGTTATGGTATATGTGATTGTGGATCTGAATTTTGCGATTTTTATGTTTCTAATTTTAGCTTAAACTACTGGCAGCAATTGAGAAAACATTGTCCAGTAAACTTGAAGATGCTCGAAACACTTTGCAACTAAGAATCATCAAGGCTCTCAAAGACTACAGAAATCTCTACTCTGTGCAACATCGCTTGGGAGGGAGAATCATATATCCAGAATCTCTCAAGTTCTTGTTGTTGTATGGATTAGCACTTTCAAAGTCAACACCTCTCCGTGGAGGGTATGCTGATGCTGCACTTGATGAACGCTGTGCAGCAGGTTTCACAATGATGGCTCTACCAGTTAAAAAACTGTTGAAACTTTTGTACCCCAACTTAATTCGGCTTGATGAGTATCTTCTGAAGGTAAAACTTTTCTCTAGAAGAATATAAGTTAAGTGATGAACATTAGCAGAATACTTATAGTTATTTCTGCTTCATATGTTTGCAGTAGTCAACTCATTGCTTATAGTTATTTCTGCTTCATATGTTTGCAGAAGTCAACTCATGATGACCTCGAAAGTGTTGAGAAAAGATTGCCACTGGCTGCTGCAAGTTTAGATTCCAGGGGGCTTTATATTTATGATGATGGTTTCCGTTTCGTCATATGGTTTGGTAGAGCGCTTTCACCTGATATAGCTATAAATTTACTTGGCCCAGATTGTGCGGCAGAATTGTCAAAGGTATAGCAGATCTCGTGAAAAATACCATCCTCGAGTAGTCTAGTGTTAAATAGTCCTACCCTTCTGAACAACTTATTTAGTGCTTGTCGCATGAATCCTTTCCCTTCATATCTGGCTAAACTTATCTTGCTAGGGTGCTACTGCTTGAACAGGCTTTACTTCTTACTCATCCGCTGCATCCTTGTTTTGGTTTGCATCAGGTTACACTAATTGAGCGTGATAATGTAATGTCACGGAAGTTAATGAAGATTATCAAGAAATTTAGAGAAAGCGACCCCTCATACTATCAGTTGTGTCAACTTGTGAGACAAGGCGAACAACCCCGCGAAGGATTCCTTCTTCTTACAAATCTTGTTGAGGACCCAATGGGGGGTACAAGTGGCTATGTTGAGTGGATTCTACAAATACAACGGCAAGTGCAGCAAAATCCTTAACACAACATTCCAGGTACATTTTATTCTTTTCTCAAAGTTTAGTTCGTCTTTCGCTAAAGGTGCAAGATATTACTAACTCGTTCACATGTTATATTATGTACTATTCGAAACTGAAAGTATCACGTTTCTAACTAAAAGGATTTGTGCTTGAAACTATTATCATTAACCAAACTTTGGAGGGTATGTTAGAGATTAGCAAAAAATAGTTTATCATTGTTGGAAAAATATTTCCATGCAGGATAGTGCTGTTGATGGCTGTTCTTTTAAATCAGTTTAGCCGGCGATTCATCAAGCTTCTTCCGTTGATAATCTGTAAAGTGAAGATCACTCTGTTACATAACAAGAATAATTCCGAGTGTGGTTGATTTCGTGGTGGAAGAAAGATTTTTGGACAGCTTTTCTGGTTTGGGCGCAGGACGCAATAATTAGGGGGACATATACTTTAGTTATATTGAGAAATCTTGTGCCACAATTTTCACATTGAGAAGAAACACAATTTTTTTATTGCGATAACTGTTAAATTATTCTTAGAAACTTTCCTATTTGTGTTATATTTCTTTTTCTTTCCCGTTCTTGTGATTTGGAAGGAAAGTGGAGGTAGTGTGACAACACGTTTTACTTCATTGTTGGATATGATATTCGGTTTTGCAATTTTTATTATGGCTTTTTTTTTTTTTTTTTGATTGACGTTTTTGATATGATTTTGGAAAACAAACGCTAAATCCATGAAAAACATATTCTTGCATAAATTACACTACACCCCATATTTATAAGAGCAAAATTGAAATATGTCAATTTTTAATCATATTTTAAGAATAATATAATTACATAGTATTTACTATGATGATTGTCATGTTTTATGCTAGATAATTATGTATTAATTAGTAATTGTATTTTGTTGTTATTTGTTAATTAGTCACCAAATAAGAGGTTTTTATCCGAGGTGAGATAACTATGACATCAGATAAAATCGTATAAACGTGGTTGAAAATAAATGCAAATTCAATAAAAGGATAGAACGACATCCAATCCAAAACAAGATAAATAAATTGTTACCTAAAATTATTCGAAGGATGTTAAACACTCCAATTGGAGTACATTTCAAACCCACAGGTGTGAGGGATCAAGATGCTTGTACAGAAGCTAAGTTGATGAAGAATGTCCCTTACTCCAGTGCAGTGGGCAGCATGAGGTATGCAGATGCAGTGGTCAGCACCAGGCTTGATATTTGCATTTGGAGTAGGCCTTATGTAACACCCCTAATATGGCTCTAAATTATCCAATTAGTCATATTAAGTAGTGTTACTTTATAACCTTCTCTTAAACTTAACCTAACATGTTATACGTATTAAGTATGAAAATACGGGCAAATTTGAACTTTTAAAACTTCCTAACAAGCAAAGATAATCAAAATATATATAATATACTTCAACAGGCTAGCCAAACATATACAATATAATAAATCTATCAAAAATAGGCTCAGCTTTATACTATGTATACCCCCACGGGCTCACACAATCCCTAAGTACAACGAGGGCCTCCAAAATACAGGTCAGTTAGTCCATATACATATGTCTCAGTCCTCAAGATTGTGCCAGCCAACCATCTAGTCCATAACTAATGCTGAGATGTACCCTCATATGCTTTACCATAAAAAATAAGCGAGCTAAAGCCCAATAAGTAGAATAATGCATGATATAGCAACAATGAGAATATGCATGAGCTCATGACTTGTTAACATCATACATTTTAACTTGTCATTGATTCTTTTATCTTATGCGCGCAATTACTTAGACGGGGTGGTATCTCAGATACCTCATCGGGCCTTATGGCCACAACATATATAACATCGAATGCCGTTGTGTGGGGCAAAACACATTTTTCACATTTAAAACTAATTCTTCCTCGTGATCATCGAGGAAGCTTCCCACACCGCAAGTCTCTATTGAGATAAAGGTCTTTCGACCTAGTGATCACAAATTATATTATAAAATACCGTCACGTGGGGCTAATCATAATAAACACAAATCCTTTCCCGTTATCATCGGAGAAGCTTCCCACGCCATAAGAGGTCTGGCAGTCTCCTTGGAGACACAAAACTCGTCAAAAACTACAAAACCATCATTTAACTCTCTCTTCACTTTTAATATTCATTCTTTTCATTTTATGTTCAATGGTACATATGTTGGGAATAGTGTCCTAGAAGCATGAGATGTAATGAGATATTTATTATTTATTTAATAAAAGAGTTTATTCATCATTTTATGTGCATATATTTATGAATATTTTATGAATATCAAATAAAAATTCCGTGATTATTTATGTAACCTTAAACATGTATATAAGTGTTGTATTCGAGATGATAATGTTTAAAGATAATAATCAAAAAGTGATGTTTGTAATAAATCTAATTAAAGTTCAGAATCTTTAATTAGAACATTACTAATACATGTCATTCCCATTTAGAATGGAACGGTGTTATTGTAACACCCTGAAGAATTAATTGAGATTAATTAAGGTAATTGAGATTATTAGTGTGCCTAATCTGATTTAATTAATTGAGTTTTGATTAATAAATATTTCTGACGTGTAATTTAAATAGTTCCAAGGTATTTAAATTTTCGCAGTATTTATATTTTAACCCAGAAGTGTGTATGGGCACATTTTTAGACTGCCTTTTAAATTTTGTAACACCTGTCTATTTCTTTTTCTTTTTTTTCCTTTTCTTTTCTTTTCTTACTTTCCTTTTCCTTCCCGTGCACTCTCTCTCTCTCTCTCTCTCTCTCTCTCTCTCTCTCACTCTCACTCCCTCGTTCTCTCACACACACTCTCTCTCTCCCTCGTTTTTTGTCTCAAATCGAACCGGATTCGAACCAATGAAAGATTTAAAGAAGTTTTCAATGTCAAGAGAAGGATTCGAGGTAAGATTACTGAAAGAACCTCTCTTGAATCTCAAGTTTTTGAATTTTAAAACTTATTTTTAGTTCGAAACGAATCTTTACGGATTTTGAGTAAAACTAGGATAGAAATTAGAGATCTTGGGTTCTTTGGACTTGTTTTAGGACCTAGAACCCGGATCTAGTGGTTTTCCATTGAAATATTTTGATTTGGGACTGAGATTGCAGGTTTTTAGACTGGTTTCCTCGAGCTTCTCTCGCGCAGCTGGTGCCACCAGTCGACCGGTCTGGTGGTAACCGGTCGACCGGATTGCATTGGCCTGACCGGTCGACTGGAGTGCACACCACCGGTCGACCGGTGGTAATGCACTATTCTGTCACCGGTCGACTGGTTGACACGGGGTTTGACCCTGTTTGGCTTGAAATTGCTGTTTTGACCCCTGTTTTCAGGGAGAACCCAAATTAGCTTCATTTGGGGACTTGAGATGAATGGATTAGCATCTTTAATCCTTCTTTTGAGATTGAAAACCCTTGGAATGATAATTTAAAACATGAAAATGGATTAGGGCACACGAATAGGAAATCTTAGTTGGAAATTGAGATTGGATTGCTTTAGGAATGAGAATTAATCCTAAAGTGTTGTCTTGCATCAGTGATCGCTGAGGATTCAGACTGAAGTGGCTTGGAAGCGGAAGCCGAAAAAGGCAACGCTAGTCCCAGGTTTGATAGTGCAAGGTAGGATTTCTATCCCTTTTCCTTGTGAGCCTGTTTTCAAAAAGGATTTCGGCCTTGGAAATGTTTTAAAAGAAAGGGGTTGGTTTGCGAAAGAAAAACTCTTTGAAAACGATGACTTGTGCAGTTTATGGAATCCATGGATTGTCCTGTCCATGGAATCCATAGCTAGTCCAGTCATGGAACCTCATAGCTTGCCCAGTCATGGGGCCCGCGGCTTGAGTAGTTCGTGGGGTCATAATAACGATTTCAAAAAGTTAATGAATGATTTCTTAAACTAAGAGATCTTGTGAACTGGTAAGAAAGTCTATTACTGTAAGCCTAGATAGGATGCAGATGGTGCATCCTCGGGGGTAGAACCCGAAACTCGGTCCGGGTAGGCGAGACACTTGGTTAGGTAAGTAATTTGTACTAATTACTTGTTGAAGCCTGTAATACTATTATTTTCAGTTATATTTCCTTTGAGAAAAAGGATGTGAGGTTCTGGCTGTCTGTTGAAACTGAATGTCTATTTATTTATTTACCCATTTATTTATTTACTCGCACATCTATATATTCATTTACCTTTAAGTCATTTCAAATTATATCCTACTGGGCCTTTCGCTCACGTTTTATGTTTTAAATGTGTTAAACCCCTCCTAGGAGATTCTAGGAGCGGTGCACAGTAGCTAGATATTTGCTACGGAGCAGCTGAGTTGTGCTGCTGTTGGAATCAAGTGAGGATTATGGTCATCCTCTGGAACAAAATGTAAGGAATTGAGAATTCTGTAAACTCTTGAAATATTTGGATTAACTAGACTGTGGTTGATGTCTGTTGTAATGATTATTTACATGTGCATGTATGTACGATACTGTATGTCCTGTGGGTGGAGCCCTGTGTGTTATCAGAGGCTCGAGATTCTGTAATTTATTTATATTTTAATTCAGTCGAGTGCGGCTCGTCTGGGAATCTGCTCTATTAACTCCTAATCGAGCTTCACGTCACCCACCCCGTTTGGGGGACGTGACAGAGTGGTATCAGAGCCCTAGGTTAAGAAACCTTAGGATTGTACATACATGTGTGACATCTGTAATTCACTGAATAGTCTAGTTTTATTTCAGTTAAAGGAAATAACGCCTCACCGTAGACCAGCTAATCAACCAACACAACAGAATCAGGGATTTCTGGATGCCATGTATGTTGCCTTTCAAGGCATGGCCACTAGAGCTCAAAACGAGTGGCCGGTTGAGGATAGGAAGTAAGGGTACTTCCGGAAATTTAGGCGTGAGCCTATCCCCTCGTTTAATAGTGAGGGAGGACCCCAGGAAATAGAGTTTTAGTTAGACTCCATAGTCAAGCACTTGAGTACTATGGGAGTCCCAGATGAATACTGGGTGAAATTTGCGGTATACAAGATGGAGGGCTTAGCAAATACTTGGTGGAAACAGGTCAAGAGAAGAATAGATGTTACAGGACTGACCTAGGAGCAATTTAAGACACTGTTCAATGAGCAATACTTCCCTCAGAGTTATAGGGATGAAAAAGCGTTAGAATTCATGTCTCTGCTACAAGGTGACATGTATGTAAGGGAGTATAAGGCCAAGTTTAATGACCTATCCCAGTTTGCGCCGTCTTTGGTGGAATCTGAACACCTTAGATGTCTTAAGTTTGAAAAGGGCCTCAAGAACTCTGTGAGGAGATCATTGGTGGCTTTAAGGATTCAAAATTTCCGGGATTTGGTGGCTGCTGCTACTAGGGTGGAGAAGGATAATATGGCCTATCACCAAAGTAAAGAACTAGCTGGGCGAGTTTCAGATTTTGGCGGACCATCCGCTTCTGGCGGGCCACAGCGGAGTGGTAGAAGGAACCGCAACCAAGGACAGTCTGGTGGGGGAATGATTAGTGGTGGCAGTAGTTTGTCAGGAAGTGACAGAAGTGCTCCATACGGACCCAAGTGTCACCATTGTGGGCATGTGGGCCATATTAGGAGGAATTATCCTAATCGGCCGCCGGCTCAACAAGCCCAAAGTGACGCTTCTTACAG